CAAGGAATACATATATGTCCCGAAGGACCGCGTAGACCCTCTACTATTGGAATGCCAACTATACCTATAGTTCTCATCTACATAACATGGGCTTTTCCCAATTTACATAGTATATCACATAGACATATCATTTCCTTACCTTTTTCACATGGCTCATATAACTTTGCATACATATTCATTTAAAACATGTTACACAATGCACATAGTATGAATTCATATCATGCTTCACTATATGAAATGAATCATGCATCAATGTATTGAATCTAGACTTCTCACAAGTCTAGAATTGAATATATCACTATAATCATGATATGCATATGCACTCACCTATATTTCTTTACCCTTCCCTTGATCGATCTTACTAGGTAATTGTTCTGGAACTTGTTTAGGCTCTGTATCTACATAGTAATTCATTGATACTTATCAATATACTAATTAATATATTCTAAACTATCATTTCTTAGGCTAAAAGAAAAGCTATTTTCATATTTTAATGAACGTATGCATCGATGCACTACACTACGTATCGATGCATCCCTTGACGGGTGCATCGATGCACTATCTATGCATCGGTACATAAATCTCATTCGATGTTTGTATTTTAAGGGGGTGCATCGATGCACTACTTGTGCACCGATACACTGATGGCATTCGATGTTTTTATTTTAAAGAAGTGCATTGATACACTTCATGTGCATCGATACACCTTGAACAATTTCTAGAATTTTACCCTTGATGCATCGGTACACATTGAATGTGCATCGATGCACATAGCCCAGAAATGTTATTTTTAGTACGAAATGCCTTCATAATCCCCTCAACACTACATAATTCACCTCCTTTTATATCCCTAACTTGCATACCCTTACTTAAACTAATTATTATCCATTCAATACCTTTAAAACTTAGAAATCCAATCCTCCATATAGAATTTAAGAATCTCACTCAAATTCCAACATGTTCTAATTCCTATTCTAACACTTCATATCTTTTAATTCCACTAATTACAAGTCAAATTCCACTTCCAATTCTTATTATGAACACTAATTCAAGATTTCACTTTTCTACTTCCTTTCTTTAATTCTTCATATAGTCCTCATCTTATGGTTTTAAAATAAATTAAACTTCCTTTAAGCTTAGCTATTGTCTAATGGTCATAAATCAACCATAAATTCATCAAGAAATGTACTAACAAGAGATCTTACCTTTAGCTTGGGTCTCACGTATTAAGAAGATGAAGAAGAGGAGAACTTTGGAAACTTGTTTTTGGTTTCCTAAACTTCCACGTGGGTTAATATAATACTAGCCCAAATAATTATCTTACTATAAAAGATAATTTTTTCCTTCTAATCCTCTTTCTTTATTAATTGATCCTACAGAAAACCTTTCAATCAATTCTTTGAACTTTTCAATTTATCCAATTTGGTCATTGAATTTTTAAATCTCACAATTTAATCACTAACCCGGTATGAAGGATGTTACAAATCTCCCTCCCTCAAGAAAATTCATCCTCAAATTTTCATTGCACGAACAGATGGGGTACTGAAATCACATATCCTCTTCACGTTCCCACGTTGCTTCTTCTACTTTGTGACTTCTCCAAAGAAATTTGACCAACGAAACCATTTTATTTCTCAATTGTTTGACTTTGTGAGCTAATATTTGTCTTGGTTCCTCTTCATATGTCAAAAATCAGGTTGAACTTCTACTTGTTCTGGTGTAACGATGTAAGAGGGATCAAACCTATATCTTCGTAACATGGACACATGGAAAACATTATGGATTTTCTCCATTTCTGGTGGCAGAGATAACTGATATACCACTGGTCCTATTCTTTTAATAACTTCATATGGTCCGATGAATCTAGAACTTAGCTGTCCTTTCCGGCCAAATCGTAATACCTTTTTCCAAGGTGACACATTGAGAAACACTCTATCCCCAACTTCAAATTCAATTTCCTTTCTTTTGAGGTTAGAATAGGACTTTTACCGATCAAATGTCACTTTCAGGTTATGTTGAATTTCTCAAACTTTCTCTTTCATATCTTGAATCAAATATGGACCGAGTACATTCCGATCTTTGAGCTCATACCAGTTTAAAGGCGTACGACATTTTCTCCCATATAACGCCTCATAGGTCAGAATACTGGACTGATAACTATTGTTGTAAGTGAACTCCGCCAGTGGTAAATATTTCTCCCACGACCCTTTAAACTCAATGACACATGCTCACAACATATCTTCCAATATTTGAATAGTTCTTTCTGATTGTCCATATGTCTGGGGGTGAAAAGCGGTACTAAAGTTTAAGTGAGTCCCCAATTCTCCATGCAAGGATTTCCAGAATCTCAAGGTGAATCGAGGGTCTCAATCAGAAACTATAGAAACAGGCACTCCACGCAATCTAATAATTTCTCTAATATACAGTTCCAAATACTTTTCCATAGAGAAATCTAATCTGGAAGGAAGGAAATGTATTGACTTGGTTAATCGATCAACAATTACCCAAATTGAATCTCTTTTGTTTGGAGTCAGGGGTAACCCCAAAACAAAATCCATTGTTACATTTTCCCACTTCCATTATGGAATGGAAAGGGTTTGCAATAATCCAGACAGAACTTGATGTTCGGCTTTAACTTGCTAACATGTTAAGCACTTGGACACAAATTCAGTAATGCTTTATTTCATCCCTGGCCACCAATACCGATCTTTTAAATTCATATACATCCTGGTTCCACCCGGGTGCATCGTCAATGGACTGCAATGAGCCTCTGTCAATAAATCTTTCTTCAACTCTTCATCGTCTGGTATCACAATTCTTTCTTTATAATACAATTTTCCATCGGACTTCAGCTCAAAATCTTTAATCTCTTTATTCTTTACTTGCTTTATTCTTTTTAAGCATATTTCATCTTGGCTTTGTAATTCTCCTATTCGGTCCAACCATGCTGGTTTAAGTTTTAACTCTGCACATAAACCGTCGTCTCCAGTTAAAGATAATCTTGCATTCATAGCTCGTAAAGCTGCAAACGTCTTTCTACTCAAGGCATCTGCTACCATGTTAGCATTTCCAGGATAATAGTCAATTATTATATCATAATCTCTCAAAAACTCAACCAATCTCCTTTGTCTCAAATTAAGCTCTTTTTTAGTCATCAGGTACTTCAAGCTCTTATGATCCGTATATAAGTAACATCATTCTCCTTACAGATAATGACGCCAAATCTTGAGAGTGAACACCACTGCAGCCATTTCTAAATCATGGGTGGGGTAATTCTTTTCATGTGCTTTCAACTGTCTCGATGCATACGCTACCAACTTCCCTTCTTGCATTAATACACACCCCAACCCATTGTGGGATGCATCACTGAATACGAAACAATTCTTACCATATTCTGGTTGAGCCAATACAGGAGCTTCTGTCAAAATTCCCTTTAAAGCTTCAAAACTTTCTTGACATTCAGAAGTCCAAACAAACGGTACATTCTTTCTCATCAATTTCGTTAAAGGCAGTACTATCATCGAAAAATTCTTAACGAACAGTCGATAATAACCGACAAGTCCAAGGAAACTCCGGACTTCCGATACATTCTTTTGAACCTCTCAATCCAAAATAGCTTTTATCTTTTGAGGGTCCAACCAAATCCCCTCTATAGAAATCACATGCCCTAGGAAAACCACTTCATTAAGCCAAAACTCACATTTGGACAATTTGGTATAAAGTTTCTTATCTCTGAGAATTTTCAAAACTATCCTCAAATGTGCGCTATGCTCTTCAATGGACTTCGAGTAAACCAATATGTCATCAATAAAGGCAACCACAAACTAGTCCAATTAAGGTTGAAAAATTATGTCCATGAGATCCATGAAAGCAGCAGGTGCATTCGTTACTCCAAATGGCATTACGATGAATTCATAGTGACCATATATCGTTCTGAAAGCCGTCTTCGGAATATCTTTCTCCTGAATCTTCAATTGGTCATAACCAGAACGTAAGTTAATTTTTGAGAATACCGAAGCTCCTTTTAATTGATCAAACAAGTCATCAATTCGAGGAAGGGAATACATATTCTTGATAGTTACCTTATTAAGCTGTCGATAATCAATGCAGAGACGCATTGACCCATCCTTTTTCTTAACAAATAACATCGGAGCTCCCCAAGGAGACACACTTGGTCGAATAAATCCCTTCTCTAACAACTCTTGTAGTTGATTCTTTAACTATTGCAATTTTTTCGGAGCCATCTAATAAGGTGCCATTGCAATCAGAGCTGTTCCCAGCATTACTTCAATTTGAAATTCTACCTCGCTATCTGGAGGTAATCCTGGCAACTCAGCAGGGAAAACATAAGGGAATTCTCGAACTACTGGAATCTCATTTAACCCTTTCTCTTTATCTCTTGCATCTATCACATTTGCAAGAAAACCTTGACATCCTTGTAGCAATAGCTTCTTAGCAGACATCACTGATATTATATTTGCTAAAGGATTTAACATTTCACTGATCACACTTACTTCTATTCCTCTTGGACTCCTCAGGGTTACCTTTTTCGATCTACAATTAACATCCCCATAGTAACGAAACAACCAATCCATTCGCAAAATCACTTCAAACTCATCAAAGGGCAATTCCATCAGATTAGCAGGGAATTCAATTCCCTGAATCTTTATGGGACACCCCTTACAGACTTTGTTCACCCGATCACTATGCCCTAAAGGAATAGTTATTATAATCTCATTACTCGTGGCTTCTAAGGGGATCCTCAATTCCTTTACTAATTTACTTGTAATGTAAGAATAATTAGAACCCAGATCAATCAGTACCAATACTAATTCATCATATAGCTGAAAAGTACCATCTATAATATCAGGGTCATCATGCTCTTCACTTGTCTTTAAATTATATACTCGTGCATTTGACCAAATTTCATGTTGAGCAGAGGATTCAGATTGGTTCCTTCCTCTGCCTCTTCCTCGTCCTCTATGTGAGGCAGAACCAACTCTCTCAGATGGTGCAGGTTCACTAACAATAAACGGACAATCCTGGATAAAATGTCCGGCATCTCTGCATCGAAAACAAGTCCCAGCAGTTATCCGATGCACCCCAAAATGGTTTTTCCCATAATGCTGACATGGTCTCGCTTGACCCTGATTGGATCTCACAGCACCAGATCCCATCGAATGTGTTTGTCTAGGTCTTGCCTGAATTTCTCCTCTAGTAGAGGAGGCAACTGATTCTGATCTAACTTGTGATCGAAATCCTGAATCTCTTTCTCTTTTTGGTGGTGGTGAGCTGGAAGAAGCACCCGTCCTCTTTGATGTCTAAACTCTTGAGTCCCCGAATCTCTCATTCTAAGTCATCGACTTAGTGAGGCAATATAATAATAATAACAACAAGGGAACGTAATGAAAATGCCATAATAAGATGGAATAAGATGAAATCTTATACTTTACAATGCAGTTTATATCACCATGCTCCTTACCTATAAGCATATTACATTAACATTCATGAATTCATATTAATACGTTTATTGGCCCATGATACCATACTGAGAATCTAAGGTATGTGAGTACAGTGAGGTTGTGCACTATGTTGTCACCACAGCTTGTATAAATCCATCGAAGTGCCACGTAGAATTGCACCGTAGTGCTATATAAGATGTCCCTAAGGACCACGTAGAAAATTCGTTAAAAATTATATACATATGCCAAGGATCAAGTACGTGTCTCAAAAGACATCACACATGTTCCAAGGAATACGTATATTTCCCGAACGACCGCGTAGACCCTCTACTCTTGGCACGCCAACTATACCTATAAATCTCATCTACATAACATGGGCTTTTCCCAATTTACATATTATATCACATAGACATATCATTTCCTTACCTTTTTCACACGGCTCATATAACTTTGCATACATATTCATTTAAAACATGTTACACAATACACATAGTATTAATTCATATCATGCTTCACTATATAAAATGAATCTTGCATCAATGTATTGAATCTAGACTTCTCACAAGTCTAGAACTGGATATATCACTATAATCATGTTATGCATATACACTCACCTATATTTATTTACCTTTCCCTCGATCGATCTTACTGGGCAATTGTTATGGAACTTGTTTAGGCTTTGTATATACATAGTAATTCATTGATACTTATCAGTGTACTAATTAATATATTCTAAACTATCATTTCCTAGGATAAAAGAAAAGATATTTTCACCTTTTAATGAAGGTATGCATCGATGCACTACACCATGTATCGATGCATCCCTTGACGGGTGCATCAATGCACTATCTATGCATCGGTACATAAATCCCATTCGATGTTTGTATTTTAAAGGGGTGTATCGATGCACTACTTGGGCATCGATACACTGATGGCATTCGATGTTTTTATTTTAAAGGAGTGCATCGATACACTTCATGTGCATAGATACACCTTGAACAATTTCTGGAATTTTACCCTTGATGCATCGGTACACATTGAATATGCTTCGATGCACATAACCTAGAAATGTTATTTTTAGTAGAAGTCCCTTCATAATCCCCTCAACACTACATAATTCACCTCTTTCTATATCCCTAACTTGCATACCCTTACTTAAACTAATTATTATCCATTCAATACCTTTAAAACTTAGAAATCCAATCCTCCATATAGAATTTAAGAATCTCACTCAAATTCCAACATGTTCTAATTCATATTCTAACACTTCATATCCTTTAATTCCACTAATGACAAGTCAAATTCCACTTCCAATTCTTATTATGAACTCTAATCCAAGATTTCACTTTTCTACTTCATTTCTTTAATTCTTCATATACTCATCATCTTATGGTTTTAAAACAAATTAAACTTCCTTTAAGCTTAGCTATTGTCTAATGGTCATAAATCAACCATAAATTCATCAAGAAATTTACTAATAAGAGATCCTACCATTAGCTTGGGTCTCACGTATGAAGAAGATGAAAAAGGGGAGAACTCTGGAAACTTGTTTTTGGTTTCCTAAACTTCCACGTGGGTTAATATAATAATAGCCTAAATAATTATCTTACTATGAAAAGAAAATTTTGTCCTTCTAATCATCTTTCTTTATTAATTGATCCTACACAAAATATTTCAATCAATTCTTTAAACTTTTCAATTTGTCCAATTTGGTCACTAAATTTTTAAATCTCATAATTTAATCACTAACCCGGTATGGAGGATGTTACATTCCTTCTTTGCATTCTCCTTCTCTTGGAGTCTAAACCTTGTTTGGCCTCTTAGAGCTTTTAGGTTTTCTTATCGCCTTTGCTATTAATCAAACTCTGATACGAATTGTGGAAGACTACTTGTTAAAGTGAGTTTTAAAGAATACAAGATCAGCTTACTTGTCTCTCGTTATGTTACTTTCTTGGAGTGACTTGTGAGATTTCTTGCTTTGTTGAATTTTCTTTCTTTTATTTTTATTTTACTTTAAAATTTTCTTTTGAGTGTTATGAATTCAGAATGGGCGACAGAAAAACAATAAACTTACGGCTATCTTAGTCGCACTTGCACGACTCACGACTCAATTTGAAAGATTTAATGAATTTAACAATATCATGAGAGAACGATAAGAACCACAATTAGATCAACCAAACCATAATCCAAGGCCAAACAATGCTAAACTTTTGGTACCCACACAATCACAACCACGTTTCCAAGCACCCAAACTCTTTGCAAAACGAAAGTTAACGATCCCGTCCTTCAAATGAGAAAATGATCCAGACAAGTACATCGATTGGGAAGGAAAAGTTGATCTCATGTTCGTATAACATGACTGCCCCAAAGCTGAAGAAGTTCCCCTCATCACCATGAAATTCGAAGGATATGCTCACACTTCGTGGATGCAAACAAGGAAAAAGATCAAGAACTTCCAAATTCAAGCAATCACTTCTTCGACCAACCTCAAACAAACCATGAGGAACTGATTCCTACTGACACATTATACATAAGAAGTTAAACTGTGACTACACAAACTTCGACAAGGTAGAAGTTCAGTTGAAGACTACTATAAGGAGATGCAGTCCTTACTCAATAGGGTTAACATAACCGAAGAAACAGAGGACACCGTGTCAAGATTCATCGTCGACTTAAACTCAAACATTACTTATCTTCTTGAGCTTCATGGGTATGAAAACCTTAAAGATACACTAAAGAAGGAAGTAACAATCAAAGAACAAATCCAAAGGAGATTTTGATTTAGAGAACATTACCAAGGTACTTCATCCTCTTACCAAGGTAATACTTCAAATCCTTCCTCATCTTCTACTCCATCTTCTCTAAAAAATCCGAGAGATGAAAAACCAGACAAGGAGAAACAATGACCAGCAAAGAATGACACACTTCCATCCCCTAAAGATCAAATGAGAATTTGTGAGGAGGTAGGGAAAGTAAAAAAAGAAAAAGTTGAGAAAGTGGAAAAAGCAAAAGAGGTCACTAGTTACAAAAGCCAGAAGAATAATGACCCAAGGGAGGGTGAACCTAATTGTGAGAAGAAAAGAGTGACTCAAAATCTATGTGTGAGCACAGAAGAATTGAGAGAGAACCTTCTTTACAAACAACCTTGCATCCTTGTTCGCTTTAGGGAATCACTTGTTTCGATTTCTAACATTAATAAGGATTTGCCTAGTGTGTTTTCATCTCTTTTACAGGATTTTCGAGAAGTGTTAGGTGATCAACCTGATGGATTACTACCAAAAAGAGGAAAACAACACCAAACCAATCTAATTCAAGGTTCCATCATACCTTGTCAATATACAATCTTGAAGAAACCAAAGAGTTAGATTTGTTACAAAAATGCTACATCGAACAAAGCATTAGTCGTGGTGCCATCTTAATGATAAAACATTATTTGAACAACTCTACAGGCTTTATAGATCGTGCACAGGGAATCCATGTAAATGATGAAAAAGTGAAATGAACACGGGACTAGCCCACACCATCTTCCATCACCAAGAGTTATCGAATAGTGTTGGGTGACCCTCATGACGGGTTACCACCTGAAAGCCCTAATCAATATGACATATCAATGAAGAGTCACGATTTACGATAGTCCAAAGGTAAGTATTTTATTACTCATTTTAATGATATTGTAATGTACTTCTTCTCCTTTTTACAAGGTAAGACTCTTGAATTTGTTACTCATACTAAACATAACTCCTTTAAGTGCGTCAAAGACATAGGTAAGCAAAACACAGTAGACGACGCACTGCCACGAAGGTTCTACAATCCATAAATCTCCTCCTTAGACTTCTTAATTCATGAACCACACTTAGGAGACTTAAGGGATTACTTTAACAAACCAGTTGACATGGTTTTTCAAAACTCATTCTAGCCACACACGAGTCAAACCATGGAGAGAATATCTGAAGCAATCATAAAGAAAGCCAACAGTAGCCGGCGCCATGTTGAATTTTAACCTAAACATCAGATTACAAGACTTTTATGCAAAATAGGATTTCAAGACTACAAGAAATCAGTTCCTACAAATAAGAAACCTCGAATAAAACGCATAAAGACACATCATATTGATCCTGGTAAACGTTTCACAAGTTTTCCTTTCAACACATTTAATTCTCTTTTTCTTGTATTTTCATATTCGAAGACGAATCCTTTTAAGGATTGGGGGAATGATACATGCACTAGAGTCCATAATGGTAATGCATGCTTTTTTGGACTAATTTTTCTACTTGAACCTATTAAAAGAACAGAGTCTCAAAGATTCAAAACATATTTATTCGATAAGCATAATGTAAATGAATCATTAAACGATTCTAATGTTGCTCCCTTTAATGTTTCAGATTCGAGGTCGAATCGTTTTGAAGAAAGGGATGAAAATACATGCATCAAAAAGCTCACATCAAAGGAAGAAGTAATAACTCTTCCAAATGATCCAATTTTCCAAGCCTTAGAAATGAACACCAGAATAGCAGCAGACTTGCGAGGACTTTTTGAATGGGATCTTGATCTTATTTGGTCAATATGTCCTCTAAAGATACGACCATATGTCTCTTATATTTCCAATGATTCTTGAATCGCATAAATTCTATATCGGAAACGTAAGATACGTTCATTTTAGTGAAGACATCGCATGCAAAAATTCTTATACGAGATTAATACGTGATTTTGTAAAT